CATCTTGCTCAATCTGTATAAAATGAAAAACCTTCCCGCCCACAAATAGGGGATATCTGTTATAATAAGGGACACCTGCCAGCCTGATAAGGAACAAGCTTTCCGTCCCTTAAATAAGTGAGATCCTTTATAACAAGGGACACCTGGCAATCTTATGCAGCAACCAAGCAGCTGTCAGGACTTGACAGCATTCCACATTCCCCAGGAGCTGATGCACTGCCTCTGATAATGAGAGGCGATAATCTAGTTGCCACAAATAGTAGCCATTGATAGCCCCATTCCCTCATTAACTTTTCTAATGCGATGCAAAGCAACTATATCTAGGCTTGAGGAGTGGGGCGTTCTTGGTAATCCCCACCTCCACTCTGTTACCCAAAGGTCTGGCCTGCTGCACCCCTCCTCTGTGTACTTAACAAGTCCTCTAGTGCACATCCCGAACTCCAGATGTGAAGATCTGGGAGGGTCGGCATGGGAGAAGCTCAAGAGCACATGGCCAGGACAGGACAATCAAGATGGGAATCCACATAGCCCTTTAATTGATAGCAGTGATGGTGGGAGACAGACCTGCCATTTGCAAAAGAACAAAAATCCAAGAATACTTCCTTCTGGAGGAGATTCACCATTGTCCAGAAACATTGGCACTGATTGTCCAGTCATTTACAAGTTCCCTTCTCACTCATCTCTCCTGGAAACTTCATTTACATCCCAAAATCTGCCCTGGGACATGTTTTGCTCTAAAAATATGCCTGACATGGGATCTCCAACTTGGTTTTTGTGGATTTTCTGGGCTGTGAGGCCGTGTTCTAGAAGAATGTATCTTCCAACTCTATGATTCTGTGATCCTCAATATGACATCCCTTCAAATATTCAAACATAGCTATCATATCACCTCTTAACCTTCTCTTTTCCAGGCTAAACATACCCAGTAGCTCCCTAAGTCTCTTCTCATAGGGCATGGTGGTTTCCAGACCCTTCACCATTTTGGTCGACCTCCTTTGGACACTCTACAGCTTCTCAACATCCTTTTTGGATTTTGGTGTCCAGAACTGGACACAGTACTCCAGGTAAGGTCTGGCCAAAGCAGAAAAAAGTGGCACTATTACTTCCCTTGATCTAGACAATATACTTCAACTGCAGCCTAAAATTGCATTGGCCTTTTTTGGGCCTCGGCAGACGACTAATAAAGTCATCTCCGAGGCAGGGAAGAG